CGGACCTGGCCACCGTGGAAGGTGCTACGGATGGTGGAGCCCCGTGCCAGGCGGCTCCGCTCCCCTGATGGGGGAGCCAGGCTGTGACTGGAGGGGGAGGCGGGGGGCACCCGTGGGGTACCCGAGCTGTGGGCAGAGAGGAACAAGTCAGAGAGGGACCCAAGGCAGGCCAAATCCCCAGTCCCGCTGATTCGTCACTGTCCTGAGATCAGAAACTTCTCCCAGCCAAGAGCTCAGAGGCAGGGCGAGCTGTGCAAGGAAGTGTGTATGGCACCGCCCCCTCCGGAGTCAGCCCTCCTTACCTGTCCCTTCTTCAAACTCTACCCGCTCCAAACGGCCCCTACCCCAGCCCTCCTCTCTCCACACTCAGCTATTGAATAGCTTCACATACATTTTTGGGTGAATCCTTTGCTATTTGCCATCCAAACCTCAGGAGCCAAATCAACTTTGCAAATACTTTGCTATCTCAACTTCCATTATCCAAACTTGGGAAATGAATAGATGCGTACGTCAAGGGTACCTATAGTCATTATAACCATCTCTCAACAGGTGACAATAAAGAGGAAGGGACCTGCTTCTTGACTCTCTCAAGATGGGTGTGAGCAGTGGTGGCCCCACTGTCCCAGAACCCTCCTCTAGCCCCTCCACGTCTCCCAGTTCTCACAGGAGGCTCCAACTCCAATCTCCATCCTTCCGGGGGCCCCAGCACCAGCCTGGATCTCAAAGAGGGAACCCTGACTGTGGCAGACGCCACTACCTCTCCCTCAGAATCCTTCTTGTTTTCTATAGTAATCAAACCTTTAACGAAGAGCATGAGTACCGCACAGGGCCACCCGGCCAGAGACTACATTTCCCAGCCTCCCTTGCAGCTAGGGGTGGTCATATGACTATGCTCTGGCCAATAGAATAAAAACAAAAGTGCTTGGTACTATTTCTGGGTCTAAAAAGAATGCTGTTTGCCCTCTACTTTCTTTCTGCCCCCTCTGGCTCGTTGGGAAATGGTAGCAACTGCTGCAGCGGCCTGAGACCCAGATCGGAGCCTCATGTTGAGACTGGCAGACTCAATCTGGGTTCCCAGAGGACTACACCTCCACCTCATTTAAGTCATGATACCTTGGGGTCTCTTTGTTTCAGCAGCTGAGTCCATAACCTAACTACACACTGTCTCTTGACTAGAACTGGAAGGCCATGCATTACAGTGATTACAAACAGACTCTAGAGTCAGTCTAGACCAGGGGTGGGCAAACTTTTTGACTCGAGGGCCACGATGGGTTCTTAAACTGGACCGGAGGGCCGGAACAAAAGCATGGATGGAGTGTTTGTGTGAACTAATATAAATTCAAAGTAAACATCATTACATAAAAGGGTACGGTCTTTTTTTTTTTAGTTTTATTCATTTCAAACGGGCCGGATCCGGCCCGCGGGCCGTAGTTTGCCCACGGCTGGTCTAGAATCTGCTTCTTGACTTACCAGCTGTGGTGCCCTGGACAGTTTACTTAACTTTTCTGTATCTCATTTTCTCAGCTATAAAATGGATACCGGGATCTACCTCACAGAGTTAAGGGCATTCAACCAGCTAAGGTGCAGAGGCCTGGCCCAGGGTTCCTGCCTGATGAATTATTATTTTTATGTCCCTACAGTCCTGGTGGGCAGGAGTGCCACTATCCTGAAGTCCCCCCACCCCGACTCCTGGACTTGAACTCTGACAGGAACAAATTCATCCCTTTCATGCCGCAGCCAGTCTGCACTGGTTCCCTCACTCGCCAGCTGGAAGAGACTGAACAGACACGAGCAAATAAGTTTGAAAACAAGCCAACCAGAGGATGTGGAAGCTGTGACATTCTGGGGCTTCTAAGTTCTAAAAATGGATCATTCAAAAAAAAAAATAAACTCAGATTTCTAAGGCTCGTGGGCAGAGAACAGGGCAGACTGCTTCCCCATGCTGACTAATTAATTAAGGGAGGAGGACTTTCAGGGGAGTCTGGGAGGGGGAGGACTCGGGCAGGTACATACACTCCCCAGTACCCATGGTACCCCCGTCCCCCAACATCTACCCACCTCAGATCAAGGGGGCCCTGCTCACCTCATCCCACTCCCCGCTCCCCCTTCTCCACTGCCGCCCCCTCCGTACCTGTTTTCTTTGCCATTTGGCAACAGGGACGGGCGCTCAGCCCCTGGGCGTTCCGTGCAAACGTAGGTGTTCCTGCGGGTCATCATGCTGGGAGGGAGGTTGTTCTGTGAGAGACAGGGCCAGGAGGGGAGTGAGGGCATGAAGGGACACTCCTTACCCCTCACTTTTACCCTCTCTGGCCTCCCTCATTATGAACAAGGAGAGGCCTGTGTGTAAACTGATGGTTGACCCTGGGCTAAAGGAACCAAAGACACGAGGCTCCTGGGCCATCCCAGCAATCCAGGCTGAGTCACAGGAGGCCCCTGGGGCTGGGAGGTTCCAGGGGCAGCCTCGTCCACCTCTCTCCCGCCCCACCACCCCTTGGTAGAGACCAGCAAACTTTTTTTTTTCCCAACAAACTTTTAAAACATATCCATGCTACATGGTGTCTCTGCTTTGCCTTGGCACAGACGGTCTCATCTGCTTGGATATTCCTCCTACCTTCCCCCTGACTCACTCCTCTGTACATCTGAGGTGTCGCTTCATGATCTACCCCCACCCCCAGCTCCAGCCTGAGTCAGGTGCCGCCTCTGGCCTCCCCCAAGCAGCCTTCAGCACTCTGTACTGCAACATCTGTTCACATGTACATTCCTCCCTCACAGAACCGTGAGTTCTCGGAGGACAGAAATATCGTATCGGGATTATGTCGCCTCATAAACTGCACTGGGAAGTGAGCCCTCTTCTCTAATTCAGGCTGTTTGTCGAAGACTGGTATTTTTTATGTTTGGAAGAATTCTGCCAGTTTAGAGCCATCTGGGTCTGGAATTTTCTTTATGGGAAAGTTTTCAATTCTGGAGTCAATCTCCTTAATAAGAATATACGACTGTTCAGGTTTCCTATTTCGTTTTGTTCAGTTTGGCTCACTGTGTCTTTAAAGGCATTTGTCCATTTCAGCTAAGTGGTCAAATCTATTGGCTTAAAACAACAAGAAAGCCCACTACATGGGAGAACATATTTGCCAATGTTATTACTGATAAGGGTTTAATCTCCAACATTTATAGGGAACTCATACAACTCAACAAAAGGAAGATAAACAATCCAATCAAAAAATGGGCAAAGGACCTAAATAGACACCTTTCAAAAGAGGACATTCAGAAAGCCAAGAGACATATGAAAACATGCTCAAAGTCACTAATCATCCGAGAGATGCAAATCAAAACAACAATGAGGTACCATCTCACACCTGTCAGAATGGCTATCATCAACAAATCAACAAACGACAAGTGCTGGAGAGGATGTGGAGAAAAAGGAACACTCGTGCACTGCTGGTGGGAATGCAGACTGGTGCAGCCACTATGGAAGACAGTATGGAGTTTCCTCAAAAAACAAAACATGGAACTCCCATTTGACCCTGTGATCCCACTTCTAGGAATATATCCCAAGAAACCAAAAACACCAATCAGAAAGGATATATGCACCCATATGTTCATAGCAGCACAATTCACCATAGCTAAGATCTGGAAACAGCCTAAGTGCCCATCAGTAGATGAATGGATTAGAAAACTGTGGTACATCTACACGATGGAATACTATGCTGCTGTAAAAAAGAAGGAACTCTTACCATTTGCAACAGCATGGATGGAACTGGAGAGCATTATGCTAAGTGAAATAAGCCAGTCAATGAAGGAAAAATACCACATGATCTCACTCATTCATGGATAATAAAGACCATTACAAACTTTTGAACAATAATAGATACAGAGGCAGAGCTGCCTCAAACTGATTGTCAAACTGCAGTGGGAAGGCCAGAGAGGGTTGGGGGGCAGAAGGGAGGGGAGTAAGAGATCAACCGAAGGACTTGTATGCATGCATATAAACATAACCAATGGACATAAGACACTGGGGGGTAGGGGAGGCCAGGGGATTGTTAAGGGCAGGAAAAAAAGGAGACATATGTAATACTCTTTGTAATACTTTAAGCAATAAAAAAAAAAAAATCTATTGGCTTAAAGTAGTTCCTACTACCTTCTTGCTATCTCTTTGCTACAGCACAGTCCCCTTTTCATCCTGATATTGGCAATTCGTGTTTGCTATCTTTTTTCTCCATCAGCCCTGCTCGGGGTCCAGTGCTGTCACCAACCTTTCTAAGAACCAGCTTTCGGCTCTGTTGATTTTTTCTCTAATGTACATTTGTTTTCCCTTTTATTGACTTCTCTTCTATTATTTCCTTCTTTCTCCTTTCTGGAGGGCTAGTTTGCTGTTCCTTCCCTCCTTCCCTAAGCTGCGGGTTTATTTGAACACTAACAGTAGCTCTCAATGAGCGCTTACTGAGCCAGACACTGTGTGAAGGACTTTATGTACAAGATTCTCATCTCACAAGGACCCAAGTTTTTTAATGAGCTCATTTCACAGGATGGAGTCCTACAGCTTAGAGAGGTAAAGTCACTTGCTCAAGGACACACAGCTCATCAGTGTAATTCAAACTTCGGTCTATATGGCTTCAGAGTCCGGACCACTTTCCTAGTACCTGCCTGCACGCTGGTCTCCCACTGTTGAGGGCGTTTGGTTTCCCCAGCTGCACCCTGCCACTCCAGGAAGCTACAGGAGAAGCCAAGTGCTACACTCCTCAGACTCGTCGGCGGCTCAGGTTCTGGACAGGAACGGGTCCTGTCAACCTTCTCACACATAAAGCCCCGACTTCCGCTCTCACAGGCCAGGTCCTGCGGCCTCTGCTTCAGCAGGGCCCCCACACCATCTTCCAGGTGCTGATGTCACGGGGCCTCTGGCTGAGGGTGAAGCCCTGGAGTCTCGCACTGCAGCCATGACCGTGTGCTCTGGAATTCAACAAGCTGCCGGCAGCCTCAGGGGGGCAGCTCCTGGTGGGTCTGGCCCGCTGACAAGGTGTCATTCCCACAGGTCTAGTCTTCTGCCTGCTTCTCCAGGCCCTCCTACAATTTTATAAGCACCACACCTAGTTCCCTGTATTAAATCCTTCCTGCACGCTGTATGCCTCTTTCGGACACTGAATGCTAATTTACACTTGAGCACCAAGCACAAGATCAGACAAAGAGAGAACGCTCAGCAAATGTTTGTTGAATGAATGAATGAGTGAACGATGTAACAAGGAGTCCTGTGGGTGGTCTGGGGAGCAGGATGGGAAACGCCAAGGTCTGAAAAAATGTGAGCCCAGCGGCATCTGCAGGCCGGGCCTCAGGTGGTCGTGCCCGACCCTGCCCCAGCCCCGGCCACTCACAGGGGTGCTCGTGCTGTCCTTCCGCCGCTCCGGGATTTCTGCTTTGTTGGGGTTGTGGGCACTGCTGACCATCGGGCTGGAGGGGGGCAGCCCTCGGCTCCCGCTGCCCGCAGCACTGCAGCTCGCCTTCCGGCTCGGCAGGCGCTCCTCCTTCAGCTCCGCCTCCCCCGTGCTGGTTGGGCTGCGCTTGGGGTGCAGGGGTGTGGGGGATGGGCCGCCTGGTGGAGGGAGGGGACAGTTAGGGCTGGCATCACCTGGAAAAGCCAGAACCTACACTGGGTGACCCTGGGAACCTCAGCATTCCTCCCTGGGCCATATCTCTGTGTAGGCGACTCTGACAGGGGCTGTCAGATTGACCCAGAAGCTCCAGAGTGACCCGAAGCACGCGGAGGCAGGCGATGTACGGCATCATTCTTTTCTTTTAAGGCCCAGAGACTGGGAACAGCCTAAATACCGCTCAACAGGCAAATCCTATCTAATAAAAGAGTAATATGCAAATTAACCATCACTCCATCACAAAGATGGCGGCACCTAGTCCCCTTAGCCCCACCACTGAAGTGTCCAGGCCTGGTGGCCAGGCAGGTGGCGGGGGAGGGATGAGTGCTGAGGCATCGCTGCTGGAGTGTCCGGGCTTGTCACCTGGCCGGGGGCCACGGGGGCAAGCGGCGAGGCACGATCCGCTCA